ACAACAGGCATGGAAGGCAAGAGTCACCCACCCACCCTGCTCTGGGGAGAAGGGGGGGGACACACACGCGGTGGGTTTTGGCGCTTGGCAAAGGGTCTGGGAGCTCAGCGGTTGAAAGAGCATGGCTCCGCTGAACTAGGGACGCAGGATTTAGGGAGGGAGGGAAGGGAAGGGAAGAGAGAAGGAGAGGAGGGAAGGGAGGAAGAAGAAAAGGAAGGAGAGGAAAAGACAGAAGGAGGGAAGGAAGAGGAGGAGGGAAGGGAAGAGAGAAGGAGAGGAGGGAAGGGAGGAAGAAGAAAAGGAAGGAGAGGAAAAGACAGAAGGAGGGAAGGAAGAGGAGGAGGGAAGGGAAGAGAGAAGGAGGGGGAGGGAAGGAAGGAGGAAAGGGAAGGAAGGAGAGGAGGGAAGGAAGGGAGAAGGGAGAAGAGGAAAAAAATGAGAGGAGGGAAGGAGCAAGGGAGGAGAGAAAAGATGGAAGGAAAGGGAGGAGAGGAAAAAGACAGAAGGAGAGAAGAAAGGAGAGGAGGAGGGAAGGAGCCAAGGAGCAAAGGAAGAAGGGAAGGAGAGGGAAGGAAGGAGGAAAGGAAAGGATGACAGGAAGGAGAGGAGGGAAGGAAGGGAGAGGAAAAGGGAGGAGAGGAAAAGACAGAAGGAGGGAAGGAAGAGAAGGAGGGAAGGGAAAGGAAGGAAAGAAGGGAAGGAAGGGAAGGGGAGAGGAAGGAGGGAAGGGAAGGGAAGAGGAAAGGAAGGAGGAAAGGGAAGGGAAGAAGGGGGGAAGGAAGAGAAGGAGGGGAGGGAAGGAAGAGAAGGGAAGGAAGGGGAGAGAGAAGGAGGGGAGGAAGGAGGAAAGGGAAGGAAAGGGGAAAGGAAGGAGGGAAGGGAAGAAGGAAGGGAAGGGAAGAGGGAAGGAAGGAGGAAAGGAAAGGGAAGGATGACAGGAAGGAGAGGAGGGAAGGAAGAGGAAAAGGGAGGAGAGGAAAAGACAGGAGGAGGGAAGGAAGAGGAGGGAAGGGAAGGAAAGAAGGGAAGGAAGGGAAGGGGAGAGAGAAGGAGGGGAGGGAAGGAAGGAGGAAAGGGGAGGGAAGGGAGGAGAGAAGAAAAGAAAGGAAGAAGGAAAGGGAGGAGAGGAAAAAAGACAGGAGAGGAGGGAAGGAGCAAAGGAAGGACAAAAGGGAAGGGAAGGAAAGAAGGGAGGGAAGGGAAATAGAGAAGGAGGGAGAGGGAAGGAAGGAGGAAAGGGAAGGAAAGAAGGGGGAAAGGAAGGAAGAACAGGGAAGTAATTGTGTAGCAAACTTCCTCACTCTTGAACGGCTAGAAAATATGGAGAGAAAAAGGAGTACAGCTAGCCCTCAACTTACAACAATTCATTTAGCGACCATTCAAAGTTACAACAGCGCTGAAAAAAAGTGACTTTTTCACCCCTGTGGCTGTTGCAGCTATCCCCCCCCCCCCCCCTGGTGGACCCGTGATCCAAAGTGAGGGGCCTGGCAACCCCGTGTCTCCCACAGCAACAGCAATTTTGGAGCCCATTGGGGTTGTAACCCGAGGACCCTCGGTAATCCCTTTTAATAAAAGCAGGTGACCTTAATCTGGAGATCTCTGCTCGCCTGCTGCGTGCGTTAATCCCAATCCTTCCTTAAATGGCTCCGCAGGGCCTGGAAGCCAGATGGGGCATCAATACAAGAAATTACTCCTCTTCTTCATCCTTATTATTTTTAATACATGTTTTCCTCCCGTGCCATCACTTCACTAAACAACTGATTCCCACCACAGTCAAACTATTCACTAAGACTAGATCTCTATTCTTCTTCTTCTCGCCCTTCCTCTTCCCTTTTCTTCTTAGGACTGTGTGGCTGGCATCGTTATGGTTTCTACTGTTTTATTTCGTCTCCTAGTATAATTTTCATTGCTCATTTAGTATCCTATGACTATTCCTAAGTGTTGTATCTTCCGATTCTTGAGGAGCATATTTTTTATGTACACGGAGAGCTTATGCACTGAAGACAAATGCCTTGTGTGTCCAGTCACAATCTATCTATCTATCTATCTATATTATATACAGTATCAATTTTGTTGTATTTAAGTACAATGACAATAAAGATTATACGTATTATATCTATCTATCTATCTCATATATCTCTATCTCGTATATATATCTCTCGTATATATCTCTGTCTCTATTTATCTATCTTATATATCTATATATACATACATATATCTATCTATTATATCTCTGTCTGTCTATCATCTATCTATATCTTTATTATATATCTCTATATCTCTATCTATCTATCTATCTATCTATCTATCTATCTATCTATCTATCTATCTATCTATTTCTTATATATCTCTATCTCTTATATATCTGTCTCTATCTATCCATCTATCTTATATATCTATATATACATACATACATATCTATCTATTTTATCTGTCTGCCTGTCTATCTATATCTATCTATAATATCTTTATTTATTATATATCTCTACCTATTTATCTATCTATCATCTATTTCTTATATATCTCTATCTTATATATCTCTATATCGTATATATATCTCTGTCTCTATTTATCTATCTATCTTATATATCTATATATATACATGCATTCATATCTACCTATTATATCTCTCTGTCTGTCTGTCTATCATCTATCTATATCTTTATTATATATCTCTATTTATCTATTTCTTATATATCTCTATCTCATATATCTCTATCTATCTATCTATCTATCTATCTATCTATCTATCTATCTATCTATCTATCTATCTATCTATCTGCCTATTATATATCTGTATCTATCTATCTATCTATCTATCTATCTATCTATCTATCTATCTATCTATCTATCTATCTGCCTATTATATATCTGTATCTATCTATCTATCTATCTATCTATCTATCTATCTATCTATCTATCTATCTATCTA